CTGGGAATGTAGCTCGGTGTGAAGGCACTGGTTTAACCCCCTGTACCACACACCCACACACACACACACACACACACACACACACAAAAAATATGCAGGAAGGAAAATAAAACAAACCAAGGGAAAGGCCAGTGTAACTAAATCAAGTAGGGAAGCAGGAAAACAGAAGATGCACTCAAGGGTAATAGAAAGTGGTGTGGCCGTAATAATGACTTAGTTAGAAAGAGGAATGATCTATCTTATGCATATTTCAAGAAGATCAGGGTGCTGAGAATAGCTAGCAGTAGTTAGGAAGCCTTTACAATTCAGGCCTGAAATGATAGTGGTTGGGAACAGAATGGAAGATGTGATGTCATCAGTTTTAGAGCCAATAGAGTTTGCTATGGGATGGGGGTAGGGGAAGCAGGAGAGAGGGAGAGACAGACAGACAGACAGACTGGAGTTAGAACAATTTGATAGAGTCTGTCCTTTTTTGTGTGTTTTGCTTTTTGTTTTGTTTTGTTGAGGCAGGGTCGCACTATATAGTTCAGGCTGGTCTTGAACTCACACTGTATAGCCCAGGCTGGTCTCAAACTTGCAGCAATCTTTCTGCTTCAGCCTCCCAAGTGCTGAGATTTTAAGCATGCACCACTACACCTGACTTGATAGAATTTGTCTTGAGCCACAGGAAAGTTGGAGTTTCCACCTATGATGGAGAAAACTCTGGAAGAGCAATTTGGTGATGAATTAGGCTTTGGACATGTTAAATTTAAATTGTCTATTGGAGGCTGGGGATTTAGCTCAGCGGCATAAGCGCCTGCCTTGCAAGCAGGCAGTCGTGAGTTCGATCCCCGGTACTGATAAAAAGGAAAAAGACAAAAAAAAAATTGTCTATTGGAAATCCAAGTGGAAAGGTGGATAGTTATTTGAATGTGAGCCTGGAGTTCAGGAGGGAAGTCTAGGCTGGAAGAGTAAATGTGGCAGTGATTTGAGAGGAGATAGCTGTTCCAAAACCTTATCTTTGCCAGGCATTGTGGCATATGCTTGTAATCCCAGCACTCAGGAGGCTGAGACAGGAGAATTGCCCTGAGTTCAAGGACAACCTGGACTATATCGTAAGTTTAAGGATAGCCTGAACTATATAGTGAGACCCTGTTTAAAAACCAAAAACAAAGGGGCTGGGAATTTAGCTCAGCGGCATAAGCACCTGCCTTGCAAGCAGGCGGTCGTGAGTTCGATCCCTGGTACTGATAAAAATGAAAAAGACAAAAAAACAAAAACAAAAACAAAAACAAATCCAAACAAGAAAATCCCCACAATCCTCCATCTGTGAGTCAGCTGGAAACGTGGTCACTGATAAAGCCGTAGAGATTTACTTGTGAGAAGGCCTAATTCTTCTGTCTTCTCCTCTGCTCTTCAAGGAGAGAAGATGGGGCTCTCAATCTTTGCCTTGCTGACCCTTACTGTGTTCCTGCTGCTTCTGGCGGACAAAGTGCCTGAGACTTCCCTGTCGGTCCCCATCATTATTAAATATCTCATGTTTACCATGATCCTGGTCACCTTCTCAGTCATCCTTAGTGTGGTGGTCCTCAACCTGCATCACCGCTCACCCCACACCCACCAAATGCCACTTTGGGTCCGTCAGGTAAGAGGGTTCTCCTCCGCGCTGTAATAATTCCCAATCCTAGTCCTGGGCTTTTTTCCAGATATTGCTCCTCCTTCCCACCAACCCCAACTTGCTGTTTACAGACCTATAGAACCATAGCTACCAAGCAGAGTGTTGAAGAGCTCAAACCTGTTGGCTATTGAAACACTGCACAATAAATTTTATTCTCTCCTTTATCATTTTACATCTCATACTCTATCAATACTGCTCATCTTTGATTCTAAGAACATATTCTTGGGCATAGGGACTCTCAGGGTGGAAGGCCTCAGCACTTCTCAGAAGCCTCCCAACCCACTAGGAGCTCTTAAGCCAGTGGTGAGGTACACCAATAGTCCCAGCACTTTTTTGGAGGCTGAATCTGGGGAACTGAAAATTGGAGCTCAGCCTGGGTAACTTAGTGAGATCCTCTCTCAAAATAAAAAATAAAGGAGTGGAGGGCTGGGGATGTAGCTTGGTAGACAGACCTGGGTTCAACCCCCAATACCACACAAGTGCACATATGCCCCCACACCTCCAATAAGGCTTCAGGGTTGCATTTTCTTGTCTGTGTAGCTCTGTCAGACCCTGTGCACACATATGCCAAAGTGGCATGTGGAGTGGCTGCGGTTGGCTGCTTCTCTTGTATTATTAATGCCTGACAGTCCTTTCTAATATGCATCTTCTACTCTGCAGATCTTCATCCACAAGCTCCCACTCTACCTGGGTCTGAAGAGACCCAAACCTGAGAGAGACCATCTACCGGAGCCCCCTCACTCTTTTTCTCCAGGAAGTGGCTGGGGTCGGGGAACAGATGAATATTTCATTCGGAAGCCGCCATGTAATTTTCTCTTCCCCAAGCCCAACAGGTAGGGCCTATACCCATCACCCACAAGAAAGTGAGCGGGAACTACAGTCCCCAGAAGACTGTGCGGAAGTTGGTCGCGCATGCTTACGGAGGATGTTGTGGTTGAGCATCATGGGAAGTGTATTTTTTTCAGTTGCTTGCTTTGAGAGAAGGTGGCAATGACAATTTAGACGGGTGGATGGAGTTGTGCGGAAGGATGGATAGACCGCCGCTGGCGGGGAGACCCTGAAGGACCCTCTCTGGTTTTGGAAAATGGCAGGTTGTTGAAAGAGGCTGTTGAAATGTGGCCTAGATAACTGGAGCGGACTGTCCTGTCTTTGTGGCCGCGGTTGTGGTCAGCCATGCCTTTTCCAGGTTCCAGCCTGAACCGTCTGCCCCGGACCTGCGACGATTTATCGATGGTCCGAACCGAGCAGTGGTGGGACTGCCTCCCGAGCTACGCGAGGTTGTTTCCTCGATCAGCTACATCGCTCGACAGCTGCAGGAACAGGAGGACTATGATGCAGTAAGTCAGATGAGGGTGGAGCAGGGCCGGCCCTAGGTGATTTGGCTCCACTCCCTACGTGCAGGTTCCGCCCCTAGCACCAACTCCGCTTCTGATTGGAGGTTTGTCCTTGTGGTCCCGCCCCCTACATTCCGACTGAATGTGTAGCTTACAAAGCCCGAGTTGCACTCTCCTTTTACACTGTCCCGGGGTAGAAAACCGCAGCGGGGTACAGAGCTGTGGGAGTGGGCTCCCGTGCGGTCAGGGCCTGGCCTCAGGAGATTCCTCTGCCTGATCCCAGCTGAAGGAGGATTGGCAGTTTGTGGCTATGGTAGTGGATCGCCTCTTCCTGTGGACCTTCATCATCTTCACGAGCGTCGGGACCCTTGTCATCTTCCTAGACGCCACCTACCACTTGCCCCCTCCCGATCCCTTTCCTTGAAGCCTGGAGAGCCAAGTTCCCAGTCCCCGGCCAGCGGCCAGCGGAAGCAAGAGTTTGGTCCCATCCCTCTCTGCCTTCACTAGGAATCCAACCCTATTATTTTGCCTCTGGAGGCTGGGCAGGGTCCCTTGGACCCACCTGATGTGTATGTCAGCTATTTACTGTCTGTGGTATCCAGGAGGCTCCTTTGGATATTGACAGCTGCATGCCTAGAGATAGAACAAACAGCATAACTAGACTGTAAGCTTTATGAAGGCAGCATATGCCTTTTTCATTGTCATGTCCCAATTCCTGGCAGGGTTCCTGAACCCACAGCAAGTGCTGAACATTTGTTAAACCCAGAGGGGAGAGATTTCTGGAAGGAAATACACCAATTAATAGTGCCTACATTTGCATGTTGGGACTAGCCTTTTTTTCTTTTTTTAACTTTTCCATAATTATTTGTAATGAGTACTACATTTAGGATGGAGAGAAAAAGGGTTTTCTCAAAAGCTGTATTTGCAATGTGAACAAATAATTTAAAGACTCCCAATTTCCACCTTTCGTGCTCAAACTACCAAACTGCTCTGTATCTGTTTCCACATCTGTAAAATGAAGCTAATAAAAGTATATGCCCTATAGTATACTATATATATATATATATATATATATATATATATATATTACTAATGGGTGCATTTTGGTTGGCCCACGTTGTAGGTCTGTACAATGTCACATTTCAGTTATCCTATTGGTTATGAGGGCGCTTGCATGTAATCCCAACAGTCAAGAGGCTAAGGCAGAAGGATCACCATGAGTTTGAGGCCAGCCTGGGCTATACTTGAGTTCAAGGCCAGTTTCAAAAAAAAATTTTTTTTATATACTTCACTGAGACATTTGGATTTCTGGTTTCTTGTGAAAAAAAAAAAAAAACTATAATAATACCTGAAGTGATGGCCAGGGATTTAGCTCAGCAGCATAAGCACCTGCCTAGCAAGCATGAGGTTGAGTTCGATCCCCAGTACCAAAAAACCCCCAAAACAAAAAATACCTGGAGTGATTCTGTTGGCAGCAACTTACTGATTAGTGACTGCCTGCTGTGCCAAAGTTCCACAAAGCTCCCATCCACCTAACAAACTTCATCTTACCTGTCCTTCTTCAGTAACACTAGAAAAGATAGAGAAGGGAAGGGTGGGAAGAGATGAAGCCATTGGGAAGGTGAAGAGCGGGAAAAGTTTGTCTCTTGTGGCCATCATACCTTCTGTGCTCTAGTTTGCTTTCACGTAGGAAAAGGGTTGGACCTGGTTTAAAACAAAAGTGTCCAAGTATACCGATCTGGTACCTCGGGCTGTACACGGAAGGCTGTGTAAGGTGGACTGAGTTAATGCTTCTTCCTGGAGGTCAGATGAAAGTCAGCTGGGACCTCGTGGCCATCACACCTGGTGAGGCACCTGATCACCAAGCCTCCCACCTGCTCAGCTCCTGAGAGGGAATCGGACTACAATTCCCAGGGTCCCTGTGGGACAAGGACACGACATCTTTCCCCAGACCCACGAGCCACACAAGTGGCAGCACCTGGCATCCCACTGTGGAGCACAGTGCACAGTTCATTTGTCTCGTTGGTTTATTGGCCTAGAGTTGGACACACACACAGATGCGGAGATAAATACTGGTTGTTTCTCTAAGTCTGGGTCCTCACTACGTACAGAGCTAGACTCTGTAGAATTCTAATTCTTGCGTGCGTGGCACAGAACCAGTGGCATTCCCACTCTGCCATCACCCTTCTCCCCAGGGAACATGGGGACAGAGGGGACAAACTGACAACGCCAGATCATTTTCAAAGAACAAAATTGCAGAGCCCCGAATTTCCAACATCTGAAACTCAGTGATATTCAAATCCCCCAGCTCAAATATGTATTTTAATCTCTACTCTGCCACAATCTCATTTGTTGTCCAGAACCACCAAGTTCTGGAAGCTATTTTTCCTTAACCATATTTTAAAAAATGTGTACAATTTCACTTCTTCCAAAATGTCCATGGTTTTAGAATTTTGAGTTATTCTGAAATTCAAATTTCCCAGTCGATTCTCAACCTCTTCCATTCTCCTGTGCCTGTCAGCCTCAGAGGAGTGCAGGTGAAGGATATAGGGGACTGTCATTATATCTGTCCCTTGCCTCTAGGCTTTCCTAAATCTCTTGTGGTTCCGCTGTATAGATATATATATATATAATTTGTGTGTAGATATATGTCTTTATTACGTATTTTTCGCAGTTTTTCTAAAGTGCCAGAAACAAAATTTGTGGGAATTTTTGTGATTTTTTTTTTTTTTTTTTTGCATTTTTTCCCATTTGAAACTTTTCCTCCTTAAAAACTGGAAGTTGGTACATTCAGTAGGAAATTATTCACTCAGGCCATGGCCAATACCAAGAAAAGTGCAAAGAGACAGAGGAGGAAAGAAGGAGTAACTCCTCCACGATTAACATTCAGGGAGCCTGTCGCAGACTTCCTATGGACTGGGAGGGCGGGGGAGGCCAGGCGGTGCTGCAGCCCTCCCCGAGCTCACCTCCCTCCAGAAGCCATGATCTTGCCCTCTCGGTAGGTAGTTCCTGAGAAGGCGGCCATCTTGGCCTCTAAAAACAGTAGCTGGGAGAAAGGCTGCCATCTGGGTGACAACCAGCTTTCCCCTTTTAAAACTGCACTCCTCTAATTCCCATTTGTCAAATTTGCTCCCAACGGGCTCTCCCTTTATGAGCTGTTTTTGTTGTTGTTTGTTTTGTTTTGTTTTGTTTTGTTAGACAGATGAGCGGGATAGGAAATGTTCAGCCGATCGCAGGGAGGCCCTGTTTTCAAAGAGAATTAGGAGCAAACATTTCTTCATCTCCCTCACTGGAAGGAAATATAGGGACCCCTGACCAGGGTTAACTAGTGCAAATTAGGGATTAGGGACTAGTTAAGGTCCCTGCACCCCATCCCGAGGTTGGGATCTTTGGGTGTGGGGAACTGAGTTAAAAATGGGGTGTAAGGTGCTATTTTGGAGGGAAAACTGGTGGGAATACCCCAAAGCCCACCGGGAGCGTAGGATGGTTCCCCCAAAATCATCTGGAGTGACAAGCAGAGCCACATTTGGGAAGACGGGGGGGGGGGGGGTACGGATGGAAGGTCATGTGCAAATCTCGGGCTCGCCTCCCACCTATTCAAACCCCATCATTTTTCTGGCTATTTGGTCTAGTATGGGAGAAACCATCAGAAAGGAAATAAAGAAAAAGTACAAAAAGGGAAGAAAGAGAAAAAAAGGAAAAGTAGGTTCCTTTCTCCATATCGTATAGAGCTTTTCCCTCCTGGCCCACAAATCTGACTTAGCCCAGAAGAGGCCATATTTAAAGACAGGAAGAGGTGTGATCTGTTCACCCCTTTGCCTTGAAAGAATCTGGGGATCACTGGATTTGAGGGTCAGGATTTCCCTGCCCTGGGCTAGAAAATGCTCTGCCGTGGAATAGAGGGGTGGCTTCCCCTCAACAGCTCCTTGACCTGGGTTGGCTGAGGCCATCTCCCAAGCCTTAGCAGTACAGGAGAAACATGGAAGACCCAAAGGCATGGGCGCCAAGGAGGGCACAGCGTTTTGATGTGAAGGAATGGGGACAAGGAAACGCACCCTTGGGAAGAACAGAATCCAAAGCCATGCTCCCACGTGGTAGGCTGAGTATCACAATGGTCTGGTCCAGGCCCTGGGCCACAAAGAATGGAATGTGCTAGGAAGCATCTGGGGAAGGCTTAGAGAAAGCTTCAGAATGAGGGGATTGTTGGGCAAGAGAGATGGTTTCCCCCTAGATTTACGCGTCAGGGGAGCAGGTTAGACATTCAGAGCTGGTGGGGGCTGTGAACAGAGAGATTCGGGTAAGTATCTATTGCTCAGTTGCCCCAAGGGCTAGAGAAGGGGTGGGAGCTGGCCCTGCCCCTCATGGGGGCCATTCCCTGGAGGAAGATTGAGAGGGGAACCACCAAAAATCCCAAGAGATGGGAAAACTACAATCTCACGCAAAGCAGCCTGACCCCTGAGCTCCAGGGGCCCCCCAGTCCCTGCACAGAAGTGTGGCAGGGCTCCCGAAGGGCAGGGAGGCCAGGGAGCTGGTGGTGGTGGGAGGTCCAGGGAGGGCGGCATTTGGTGAAAGGGAAGGGTCTGCCCTAGACCTCACCCTACATCTCCCTTTTGGGTTCTCTCACCCCCTGCCCTTTCCCCTTCTCCCCTAGGGGGAACTGGTGGAGGAAGGGTTGGGGGAGGTGGAGTTGGGGGAGTAGGGGGTGCCGCTTGAGGATTCACTGTGTAGCCAAAGACCCCCGGTAGGAAGGGAAGGGCTCCTCCACCCTTCTCATCAGGTAGGACCATGTTGAGAGCAACCGGGAGGGCAGCCAAGTTGCTGAAGTTGTAAGGGTAGGCAGCGAGGAGCTGGGGACCGTAGACAAGGGGGTAGGGCTCAGGGTAGAAGGTGACTTTGGCAGCCCCTAGCCCCTCTATCCGGTCCCCCTCGGGAACCCCGGCTGGCCCCTCACTCCCAGGTTTTCCTCTACCTCCTCCAGGCTCCCGGCCGCCCCCTATCAGGGCCAGAGGAAATTCTTGTACAGGGGGGTACACGTAGCTAGCCACCCCTGGCACCGGCGGCTCTTCACCCCCGGAGATGACAGGGTCTTGGAGTGAGGCGGTGTCAGAAGCTTCCTCGGCAGCGGCACTCCCACCGCCTGCCTCCCCGCTGGACGAGGACACTTGCATCTCCTGAGGGGCTTCCTCCTTGACATCCCCAGGCCTGGTGCCAGTGCTGCCCTTGGAGTAGGCAATGACAGGGGTGGGGGTGCCCCCGGGCCGCTCAGCAGCGTGCCTCTGCCCATGGCGGCTCAGGGCAGCTGCTGTCTTGCACACCTTGGTGCACTGCGGGCAGGTAAAACGGGTGGAAGCCCTCCGTCCAGCCCGAGAGCCGTGGGAGCCCCCACTGTGGGCCTCCTGATGCTTTTGAAGCTTCCTGTAGGTGGCAAAGGTCTGGCCACAGTCTCCACATCGGTGCGCCCGCTCGCTCCGGGCACGCCCTGCTGGGCTCTCTGCTGCAGGTGTCTCCTCCCAGCCCCTCCGTTCCAGCTTCTGCCTCCAGCGTGTTGGCCTGCGGCCTCGTGGAATCACGCCAGCCCCACCACCACCCCCGTTGGCAGTTCCAGCCTTGCGTTTAGGCTTGTATGAGTAGTAGGGCCTCCATAGCTGATCCTCCCCCCCAGCCTTTGGTTCTTCCTCCTCTTCCTCCTCCTCCTCCTCCTCCTCTTCTTCCTCCTCCTCTTCATCATCTTCTTCACTCTCCTCCAAGTCCTCTCCACTCAGCTCCCCAGGACGCAGGTCAGTTTCTGAGATCCGGCGCTTGACAATGGCCTCCTCCCCAATTCGCACAGTGATCTGACACAGTGGAGGTGGTGCCTGTAGATGAGCGGGGCCCCGGCCTGGCCCTGAAGGGGGGCCCCCACTCCCACCAATGCTACCCACTGGCTTGGCCGTGTAAGTCAGAGTCCTTCCGGCTCGTGGATTCCTGCCCTTGGCCTCCTCCATGGCTGTGGCTGGCCCTGCCGCCGTGGCGGGGCTGATGATGGTAGCTGGGCTGGTGGGTGTTGCTGCAGGCTCGGGGGGAGGAGGTGGGTACTCGCGTTTCTTCGGGGGCCTTGGGGGAGCAGTGTAAGTGATGACTGAGGCAGCCTGGGACCCTCCTGTGCTGGTCGCCCCACCACCCCCTGCTCCACCAACGCTGTTGCTGCCGTGGACAATGACAGAGGGAGCCGGGTGAGCAAAGGTGATGACAGAAGGGGGTGGGCCAGGGTCCGGGGCAGGTGGGGGCACAGGTGGGGAGCTGGCCGGCAGTGCTGCAGCGGCCGGAGTGTGGAGGCCTGGAGAAAGGGGAGCATCTGGGGCTCCCTGGCTGTAGGTCTTGTAGGGCCGCTTGGCTGCCCGCATGGGGAGCAGGCGGTACAGCTTGAGGGTGTTGAGCTTGGGCTTGTAGCCTCCGTTCGGTGTCTTCTCACTGGCTAGGAGGCCCGGGCTAATGCCATGGAAGGCTCGCTGGTGGGTCTTCAGGTTATAATAGGTGACAAAAGTCTCCCAGCAGAAGATGCACTGATACCTTACAAGAAAGAACAGGGCGAGAAGAGAGTCCCTTAAGTCAGGTCCCTGAAATGGCTTCGGCTTCCCAGGTCCTCGGCAGCCCTCCAACCTGTAACTCCCCAAGACCCCTCAGCCTCCTTCACGTGGCCTGCTTCACAGCGCCAGCCTCGGGAGGGCCATCAGTCCCGGCTCAGTGCCCCACTGATCAGAGACTGTCAGCCTCAAGTGTCCCATCTGGGGGCTGGGATTCGTCACACGCCTAACTACAAAGCCTTCCGAGCCATGAATGACAGAATGGGGAAATGACTTAGGAACACAGACATCCACTAAAATAAGTCCTCTTATGAAGTACTGGTAGACATGCCTTCAACTAGGGCAACTTTCTCTTTCTTTCGTGGCTTTCCCCAAAGCATCAAACCAGGCATGGCCGGTGAGGAGCTGATGAACATCAGCAGGGGAACCGCAAGGCTGGACGTGAGTGGGGGGCTGAGCAGAAGCCTGGTGTAACCAGGCAGACTCGGTGCCCCTCTGGGCCCCACACTCTGCACGTGCCCTCCTCTGTCCCTCGGAGCCGACTCTGTGTCCCTGAGTACCGGCTCTGGGCCCTCCCGGGTCCCCTGGCGCAGGCCACTCACCTGCGCTCCCCGGTGTGCCACACCTCATGCTTGGTGCGGTACTCGGCCAGCGCGAAGACCTTCTCACAGTAGCGGCACGGGTACTTCCTCCGCCAGGAGTGCACGTTGCTGTGGCGCTTCAGGCTGGACAGGGTCACGTAGGAACGCTCGCAGGCTGCACACACATACAGCACGTGGCCGCCCACCACCTTCACCACGTGTTCGGGGCCACCTCGGAAGCCCACTGTTGGTGGCAGGGCTGAGGCATCCACTCCTGCAGGACCACCAGGGCCAGAGCCCCCAGTGCCCAGCCCTGCAGAGCCCCGAGTGCTGGTTCCCCGTCGACACTGGGCCTCGTGGGTCTGCAGCCGCTTGGGATGGATGAAGCTTTTCCCACACTGGGGGCACGGGAGGGGCCGCCGGGGCAGGGAGGGCTGTGAGCCAGCGGCCTGGGCCTCGGCCCTGTCTCCGTCCCACTCTCCATCTGGCCTGGGCCCAGGACCAAAGCCGTCCTCTTCAGGCTGTGAGGAGGCCATGGGTGCTGGGGTAGGAGGTACCCAGGCATCACCTCCCTCCCCCAGGCCTTGCAGTCGGGAGATGCCCAGACGCCGTCCCAGAGCTCCGATCTCTGCCACAGCTGCCCCGTCCCCTCCACCTCCGGGGAGTGCCAGCCGGGCACTATAGATGAAATTGAGGACATCAGAGAAGGCAGCCGCTGGAACTCCTGGCAGCTCCAGGACCCGGGGCGGGGATGAAGCAGGGGGAGACGCTGGAGGGGGAGAGGAGGAGGAAGAGGAGGAAGAGGCAGCTGTGGTGGTCAAAGGGTTGGGAGCTGAGCCCCCAGTAACCGGTGGGAGAGGCAGTGGGGCTGAAGCCAGCAGGGCCTCTCTGAAGAAGGGACTAGAGGCGGCCAGGACGCTGCGGTGAGCAGGGAACTTGGTGTCTCCGGCTATGAGGGTGACGTCACAGAAGAGGCCACGGAGCCGCTGCTCATTGAGCTGACGCAGGACGGCGGGGGCATGGGACGGGTCCGTCACCTCTGCAGGGGAGGGCATGGCGCCAGCCTAGACAACGAGGAGAAGAGGTCACGGAGAGTCTCAGAGGCTGGGCAGAGGACAGGGGGGTCTGAGACCAGGAAGATGAACTGGGAGGTCAGAGGCTGCTGGTCGAAGAATGAATAATTTCAGGTCACAAAATCAGGGGTTATGCTGGGCAGGGTGACACATGCCTGTAGTCCCAGCACTCGGAAGGTCGAGGGCAAGGGAATCATTGCAAGTTCAAGACCAGCCTGTGCTATAAAGTGAGCACAAGGCCAGCCTGAACTGTACAGTGAGACACTATCTCAAAAAGAAAACAAAACAAGAACCAGAGGTTAACCTTTAGCTACCCAAGTTTGGCCAAAGTCCAAGACTAGTATGTCTAAAATGTGAGGTATATTTTAGACTAGTATGTCTAAAACAACAAAAACAAACAAAACCCAAAAATGTATGGGGCAAGCAGAGGCCAAGAATATCTCAGGTCATCGGCTCATGACCCCAAGGTTCCAGGCCCTACCTATTTCCCAGCATTCCCTCACTGGTACTAAATGGCTACTCTTGCTGCTCTGCTGCCGTAGGTCTGAGTTTTCCCAGCTGGGGTCCCCTCAGTACCCCCTCACCTGAGAGCACAGCCAACATGGAGTGGAGTGGGGGGTGGCTCAGCGAGTTCCTTCTGCCTGGCCTCTTCCTTCTGTGGAGAAACAGAAACCATGTCAGGGGATTTGAAACAGTCCTCGAGATGGGAACGAGGCAGGCAAGGTCCCCGGAAGTAGGCAGTGGTGCAATGGTCAGGGTCAGAGAGGGCACTTGCAATGCTCCGTAGACCCCCGGTCCCCTCAGGAACCTCGTCTGGTGGTTTAGCTGTGCCCAGTCAGCTCTAGGAGGACACAGAGATCACCGCAAAGCCTTGTCCTGCTGGCCCTGAGATGCACAGCAATAGGATAATCTGCATACATTATCACAGTTCATTTCCAAACAATATAGCAACACAGTTCCATACTAGAGGCTCAAGAAAGCTTTGTCAGATAACCCTCACATCTCTTCTGCCCAATTTTGGAGCTCCAATGAAATCAAAGATTCGCATGTTGTCTTTTATTACAGCAGGTTTCAGCACGTATCAAAATAATTTTCATCAGGCTTTTTACTGAACTATGCTGCCAGGTATTCAGATTATGAAAGGACCCTCATATAACCCTACCCCATAAATCCTGTAGAGGGTTTTTGGCCTAGACACCAGGTAACTACAGAAGACCACTGACTCAGACATATGCCCATCTCCAGAGACGCTGGACAGACCCCCCAGACCAGGAGTAAGGAGACTTGTGTCCCACTCCTGACTCTAATGGCCTGAGGTCTCTGGTTTATAAAAGGGGCAGAAACACAACCCCTATCTTGGGGCTGGGGATTTAGCTCAGCGGCATAAGCACCTGCCTTGCAAGCAGGCAGTTGTAAGTTCAATCCCCGGTACCGATAAAAAAAAAAAAAAAAGACTAAGCAAACACAATCCCTATCTCACCTATTGCTGGGAGGCTCATCCAAAAGAAATAGCAGGCCACCCAAATACGAGCTACGGCAGTCACCAGCAGAGCAAGCACATCACAGCTGTTGCCCCTGTGGGCATGCATGGCAGGGTCTTGGCTTCCCGTTTTTCAGCTGAAGATCTGTCCCAAAGTCACACAAATGCCTTATTCAAAGTGGCACAGAGCTGGTAACAAGTTGGGCCGGTTCAAGGATCAGGCCTGCTGATTTGAGAACTCAGTCTCATTTGGGGAGCAGGCTGCTGGAGCCCTGATCTCTGAGGGGAGAGTGGGCACCCTCCCAAATGCCCTGGATCACCCATATCCTCAGAGGAATCCCGAATCACGAGTGAGCACATCCAGTTCCCACCACCTAAAAAATATTCTTCTCCTGTTTATTGCCCATTCTACTTGGACTAAAAGGCCTCCCTGCTGTGCATGGTGGCGCATGCCTGTAATCACAGCGCTCAGGAGGGTGACCTGAGGGTGACCGCGAGTTTAGGCCAGTCCTTGTTACACAGTGAGCTCAAGGCCAGCCTGAACTACACAGTGAGACCCTGTCTCAGAAACAAAATTACAGAAAAAAAGGCCTTCCCCCGCAACAGCCCACTTGACATTCACTGTAAGATAATTCTGAGACAGCCCTGGTGGCACAGGCCTGTATTCCCAGCAATCTGAGGCAAGAGGATTGCAATTTCAAGACCAGATTGGTACACTTCGTAAATCAGTCTCAAAAGATGAGGTGGGAAGCTGGACATGGTGGCATACTCCTGTAATCCCAGCACTCAGGAGGCTGAGGCAGGAGGATCCTTGCTGCAAGTTCAAGACCAGCCTAGGCTACAAAGTGAGCCCAAGGCCAGTCTGACCTGCATAGTGAGACCCTGTCTCAAAAAGACAAAAAAAAGGGGGCTGGGGATTTAGCTCAGCGGCATAAGCGCCGGCCTTGCAAGCAGGCAGTCGTGAGTTCGACCCCTGGTACCGATAAAAAAAAGATAGAAAAGAAAAGAGCTGGGGACTGGTTATGACTACAATCTGAGCATTTGGGAGGCTGAACCAGGAAGACTGCCACAAGTTCAAGTTCAAGGCCAGCCTGCACTGCACGAGACCCCGTCTCAAAAAGAAGAGGAAAAGGAAGCAGCAGCAGCAGCTGGGGATGTAGTTCAGGCCCTGTGTTCAATCTGTAGAAATGAGGGGAGGGGCATCTTTCTTGGACAGGAAGAAGGAAGGCAGTAAACAAAGATTAAAGTTTTTAACAAACCTGAGTACCAGGCCCAAAGCAGTAACTGGTCCAGTTCAGCCCTTTTCATTGCTCTATTGTGAGGTCAGGAATTTTATCCACTTAACAGTTTGCCCAAAATGTTGCCTGGGAAGCGGGTTTGTTTACTCTCTAACTACTCTGGGTATCCTCCACCACGTGCTATAATCTATAACCACTATATAATCTATTCAACCACTTAATTCTTTTTTGCTGGAGATGGATGTACTCTATACTCGAGATAGATATACTCTACACTAGTACATCTGTTTGTCTGTTTGTCTGCTTTGTTTTGTTGATACGGGGATCGAACTCATGACCTCAAGCTTGTCAGGCAGGTGCTTTTGCCGCTGAGCTAAATCCCCAGTTCCTTGTTTGTTTGTTTTGTATGGACTATTTGTTGCATATTTTTTAACTTAGGACATTGGAGGGCCCAGGATTCAGCGTGATGGCAACAATGCCTGCCTGGCAAGCTCGAAGTCATGACTTTGAGCCCCAGTATTAAAAAAAAAAAAAAAAAAATTAGCACATTGTGCCAGGCATGGTGGCTCATGCCTGTAATCCCAGCACTGGAGAGGCTGAGACAGGAGAATCGTTGATAGTTCAAGACCAGCCTGGGTTACAAAGTGAGCTCAACGCCAGCCTGAACTGCATAGCGAGACCCTGTCTCAAAAAAGACCAAAACAAAAATTAGCATGTTGTGGTCACTTTCGATGTTTCTTTCTAGTGAAATCTAATAATAAGTTGTGGTTATTTTCTTTTACTGATTCTTTTTTTTTTTTTTTTTTTTTGGTACCAGGGATTGAACACATGACCCAGCGCTTGCCAAGCAGGCGCTTATGCTGATGAGCTAAATCCCTGGCCCTATTAATTTTTATTTGTAAAAACTAACCTATAATTTTGTGCTATAATCTATAAAAACTCTTATCACAGGGATACTAGATATAGTTTTCATACTTCTCCGGACACAATGACACGTTTTATAGTGCAAAGTGCATGTTTGGGTCACTGAGCCTGACCAGGAAGTAAGTTCCAAAAGCTCTGCAAAACAGAAAACTAAAAAGGGAGCATGTTAGCACACTGCAAGAAGTCCGTCATAAAATGGAAGGGGGCTGGGGATTTAGCTCAGCGGAATAAGTACCGGCCTTGCAAGTGGGTGGGCGTAAGTTCGATCCCCGGTACCAATAAAAAAAAATTCCAGCAGTGGTCAGGGATTATAGTAATTTTATGGGTGATGTTGACAAAGCTGACCAACATCTAACAAGTTATCCTGTAATCAAAAAGCAAGGGAAAATAGTATTATAAAATATGTATGTACTTTCTGGACTAAACAATATGGAATTCTTTTGTTATTTATTCAAAACAGGGGGCCCAAGAGGTCTTTTACAATTTAGATTAGGTCTAACAGACCACATAATTGAAAAATATGCAATAGCAACATGCCAGCCAGGATGTCCATCATCAATGTCCTCACCATTACATTTAGTGGGCAGATACTTTATTGAAATTATACCACTAACAGGAAAAAAAGGAAAGGCCAACACAACAGTGTAGTTTTTGTTTAAAGAAAGACAATGCAAAAAGAATTTGGAGAGGAGACACTGTTGTTTTGATTGTAACGTTACACTAATTTTTTTTATTTTATTATTTATTTGCCTTTTTGAGACAGGGTCTCCTTATGCAGTTCAGGCTGGCCTTGGGCTCACTCTGTAGCCGAGGCTGGTCTCGAACTTGCAACGATCCTCCTGCCTCAGCCTCCCGAGTGCTGGGATTACAGGCATGAGCCACCATGCCTGGCTCAATAAACTTGTTTTTACATTTGCTGCAACTTTTGATGACTGTATTTAAATAACTAGACTGGTACGTTAGCCCATCTTTAAGGTACATCTCACACCCTGTATGTATGATTGGCCCTTAGCCCACCGGGACTCTAAGAACCAGCACTTCATTTGCATTATTTCATTCGTTTCTCAACACTATGCCAAACGTAGGCATTAGCTTGTGAGTATGCGCGTGTAAGAGTGTGTGTCTGTCTGTGTGTGTTTGTATGTGTTACTGGGGACCCAGGGCTTTCTTACTGAGCTACTTCCCAAATCCTTTTATTTTGAAACAGGATTTTGCTAAGTTGTCTAACCTGGGCTTAAACTTAAACTGGATCTGCCCACCTCAGCCCCTCAGAGTGCTAGAATTACAGTCATGCACTACCACACCAGGCTAGCTTCTTCATTTTAAGGTAACTAAAGTTTAGACATGCTAGGTAGTTCTCCCAAAAATATATGACCAGTTCATAGCTGAACTGGAATCTGACCCAGGAAGTTTGGTTCAGAAGCCTGCTTGGTTGTTTATTTTTCTTTTTTGAGGTAGTATCTCCCCCCTATGTAGTGCAGGTTGGCCTTGAACCTTGAAGGTTTTTTTTTTTTTCCTTTTTTTTTAAACCTTATTTATTGATTGATTGATTGATTGGTGCTAGGGATTGAACTCATGACCCTGCACTTGCCAGGCAGGCATTTAGGCCACTGAGCTAAATCCCTGGCTCCGTTTCTCTATTCTTGACTACTTGTGTGTGACCTGAGGGGCCACTTGACAAGGAGATCTGATCACGGCCACCAGACATGCTCCTCCTCTTGCCGTTCTGTCTGCCTAGAACATTCTTTCCTCCAGATACCCTCACGCCTTGCTGCCTAACCTCCTTTAAGTCTGGACTCCAACGTCGCCTTGCTCAGCGCCTTCCCTAATCAACTTCCACATTAACTTCCTATCCCCCTACCGTACTTTGTTCTTTCCCTTGACACTTAGTAAAAGACACTGCTCACTTACCTCCAAAATGTAAGGCCCACGATGGGAGGGTGAAGACAGGAGCTCTTGTCTGCTTTGTTAACTGCCCTATCTTTAACCCTTAAGAATAGCACAGAGCAGGGTCTGGAGGTTTAGCTCAGCAGCATAAGCACCTGCCTTGGAAGCAGGCAGTCGTGAGTTCGATCCCCGGTACCGATAAAAACGAAAACGAAAAAAAAAAAAAAAAGAATAGCACAGAGCCAGGGATTTAGCTCAGTGCTTCGAGCACTTGCCTGGTGAGTTTGATCCCCATACCAAAAAAGAAAAGAAAAGGAAAAAAATAGTGTGAAGTACATAATGAGAGATTCAAAAATAATTTCTAGGGGCTAGAGCTGTAGCTCAGTGGTATGCAGAAGGCCTTGGCTTCAATCCTCAGCACCACAAAAACAAAAAACAAAAATGAACAAACTGGCCCTCAAAACTGGCCAGGAGTGGCCAGGAGTCTGCCTTCCCTTGGGAGAGAAGATATTCTAGGTGCTAGACCGAGCAGCCAGGAGCTAAGGAAGGAAATTATAACCTGACTGCTTCTGGGGTGCTCACAATTTGCCTGCTACATGTCCAGGAGCTTTACAGGCATTGCTTCACCTGATCATATTATCACAGAGTAGGAATTCATATTCTCCCAATTTTACAGAAGAGGAAACTGAGACTCAGAGAAGAAAGTACCTTGCTCAAGGTCACATGTTTTTAAGCAGTGTCAAGATTCAAATCCAGGCCTGGCTGACCTTGGATGCTAAATCTTTTCCTCTGCCACACTGCTGGGTCCTGCCCTAAAGAAAGGGGCCTATAGCAGGCCAGGCAGTTACATAAATCACCACACAAGGTCTCACGTGCTGCGTGCTAAATGTGTCACGTCTGACTCCACCTTTTCCTTGCTCCCAAATCTAGCAGTCACCAAGTCGAGCTCAAACTTTGGAAGACCTGGGAATTGCCCTGCAAGTCTTCTCCTTAACTCATCTCTGTATCTCCAATTAGCTGAGGTTCCGGTTAACACTCACATGGTCCAAGGGCACGGCCTCCCCTGCAACCAGGCTTACCTCTTCCACCCAAAAGTCCACCCACTCGGCCAGTGGCCCTAACCTCAGTTCCAGCTCTAACTGTTGGGCTCAAAAACTGTGCCTCTGATGACTCCGGAATAAAGTTTAAATTCCTGCACCAGGCCCTGAAGGGCCTCGGTCTTGCTTCAGTCTCCCCTCGTGTTGTTCTCTAAATATCCTGTGAGCTTTCCAACCTCCAGGCCAGCCCTACCTCCAACTCCTTAGCCCCGCAGTAGTGAACCTATGGCACCCACGGCACACCCAGCACGCAGAGCCCCGTCTTTCAGTACTTGAGCTAAGTTGTTCCAGTAGCCGAGCATTGGATAGCAGTTGTTTTTTCTAAACTAAAACCTCAGTATTCCGGTTTAATTGCAGTGTTGGCACTTTGAGATAAATAAGTGGGTTTTGGGTTGCAGTTTGGGTACGCGGTCTCTATAAGATTTGCCATTATGGCCTTAGCCTCTGCTGGTTCTCCTCCCAGCAATCGCCTTTCCCCAACCTCCTCCCAACATCCCTCCAAAATGTTAAATGTCTAACTCAAATGCCAACTCCTTCACGGCCTTCCCCTGACACAAAAGACAAGGACACGCTCTCCTTTCTCTGACTCATCAGGATTCTGTACCCCTATGGCTGGCACCCACATTACACAGCAGCAGAGATTAGGTTCTCAAGCTCTGGGATGGCACTCTTGGGAATACTGCCCAAGCGAGCACACTGGCCTTCTGAAATAGACTGGTGGGATGTGCAGTTCTGCAGAAACTGGGCTCTGTGAGTGCGCACATGTGCACATTTGGAGGGGGTGGGCAGTGCACAGAGAGGTGTACTGAATGTTCCACAAAGGCAACAGAGTCCGGCATGGTGGCATTTACCTGGAATCCCAGCACTTGGGAGCCTGAGACAGGAACATCACCACAAGTTCAATGCCAGCCTGGGCTACGTAAGGAGCTCAAGGCCAAAGGCCAAGAAAAAAAAGAAAAAGAAAGAAAGAAACCAAAAAACAAAACTAGAGCACAGGATGGGGAACCTGACTGTGAGTGCTTAGGTTCAAACAGAGCCTAACCTCTGACTAGCTATGTGACTTCGGGCAAATTACCTAACTTCTCTGGTCGGTACCTCGCTTGAAAAGGGCAGTAATCGGGTTGCTTACTGTGAAAACTGGATGAGCAATAATAGCATGCAAAAGTACTGAGATCCCTGCGCAGCGCACGGCCAGCCTAACCAAGTGTTCATAGCAAAGCCCAGAGAAGGGGATTCCCAGGGCTCGCACAGGGCCAATAGGACGTGACACACATATGGTCTCCAAAGTGGAGCCACTTTGCAGGTCTGTTTCCCATGTGCTGCTGGAAGACAGGTAAGGAGGTAAGGCAGGTGATCGGCCCCATTTTACAACCGTGGAACTGAAGCTCACTTAGGCAAAGTACCAGGGAAGAAGACACAGCATCACCAGAGCTATGTGGCGTCTATCACGCACTTGTCCTGCAGGCCTCACACAGCAGCCAGCACCCCCCACCACACAGCGTGCTGGAAAATTCAAACACGGTGCCCTCTTCACCTCATGTGTATCTGCCTGGCCTGCCACAGGCCCGCCACTGTACAGTGTCGTGTAGATGTCCCTACAAAAGAGCCCAGGCCCCAAAGGTGAGGAAAACCTGTTCTGAGGAATCTGCCTAGCGAGCGAATTCCATCTGAGGCCCTTCCACCTTCCACTGTCACCCGAGTGGGGCTGAGTGTGCGTCACAGATACCCAAAAAGGGGGGCAGGGGAGAGAGAGGGCGAAACACGAGGAGGAGACTAAAAACTTCACGTTTCTTTTTTCCATTTTAGTGACAGAAGTCACACCCGGTCTTTACATAAACATGGCCAAGGAGCCAGTGTGTCTAAGCTCACTTCCCTTGCAGGCGCCAGTGCTCTCCTCCCAGTGACCCTGACACTTGGGTGAGGGGCAGGACACAGACCCTGCAGAAGCCAAGCTGCGCCACCGACAACACCCACAACATGCCTCCTGCCTGCTGCCCTTGCGCTGCCCATGTTTATCTCTCCGCTTTCTGCACATCTCAGCCCACACCACCACTTAAACACATACAAGGTAGGCACGCATACACAGCTTGCGTCTGGTCTGCTGGATCCAAGGCCCACATTGCCCTTGTCACGATACCTCCCTCCCCACAAGTGTCTTCCGATCGGCTAGCCTCCCAGCCCAACAGCGCAGACAGGCTGCCACAAACAGCGTCACAAAAGAATCCCATGGAGAATGTTGCAAACACACAACTACCCCTTTGCTTGGCTGCCCTTGGTCCCATAAATACAGCTTGCACATCCCACCCAGAATCCTGCAAAATAGTGCCAGCTGACCCACAGGCAACAGAGACACACCCTGGCGATCAGCAGGAGCTGAGTTCTAGACATGTAGCCCCCACACAACTCTCTTATAACAGACCCGCAAACCCATTCATCCACCTGTCCACGCCACAGTTGTACCACGTACCTCAGCACTGCCACAGAAATGGGACCAAGACTTGATACCTTCTGACTCAAAGATCCACAACTGTCCCCTCCAAAGCGGACACACACATTCTGCATTCTGGAACCCTCCATAACACTACGCACCAGCTATGCAGAAAACCAGCTGCTCATAAACAGTTCCTATGTGTACCCCAAAGACATACGTGCAAAAAAACACATGTATACAAGCTCACACGGAACAAACTCCGCACTCAGTCAAATTGTGTCCTGCTTAGAATGGCCATCTGCCACCCACAGGCATAGGGGCCACATCTGTAATCCAGCCCACATGTATGGGCTATATCGAAGGTCCAGGAAGGACCCTTACCCGGATCCCTGCCTACTAAAAGAGCAAATGGTGGTGCCCCAGGAGCTGTTTACCTGGCCCCCACAACATTGCAGGAAACACAATCTTCCAGACTCACAGCCACAACCCTGACCCGACGGCGCGGCTGCTCTGGAGCTCCTGCTCGCATTGCGCACCCCGCTCACCCCAACTCTGGGAGCTCGGCAGCCCACCCCTCCCCCGCTCTGCCTGGCTCCTACGCCATCGCCCTCCTAGCAGCTTGCAGCGCTTGCCCGGGCTCACACCCTCCCCACCCTACCCCCAACATGCCCCACGGGGGGAGGGGGACATTAGGCTGCAGAATTAACCCTTCCAACGGGGCCCTTCCACGGCCCCAGGCGGTCGCGCCCCCCAGCCTCCGCTCCACCAGGCGCCATACCGGGGCCCCCTTAGTCGTCCCCCCGCGCCGCGCGCGCTCGGGGGCGGGGCTAGGCCCAGCCCCGACCCCGGAGCCCCCAGGTCAATCCCGGAGAGGAGCGGTCGCTGCGCGGGGCGCGGCTCAGCCCCCGCGGGCCGGGCGGCGGGAGGGGGCCCGGCAGTTGACTCCGGTCCGCCTGGCCCTGCCCGGCTTGCCCCGGGGCCCACCTGACTGCGATGGCGCCGCGTCCGCCAGGCCCGGCTCATCACCGTGGCCGCCCCCGGCCGCTCCGGTGTCGCCCGCCTCCAGCTCCGACTCCGGCTCCGGCCCCAGCCCCCCCAGCGCCCGGCCCCGGCCCGGCCCCGCCGCCACCGCCGCCGCTGACATCATCGGCTCCCCCCGCCCCGGTCCTACCCCCACCTCCACCCCCGGAAACGGCCCCCCCCAGCGCCGCCGCCGCCACCGCCACCGCCAAGAGGAGGCCGGCGCAGCGCTGCTGACAGCGACACCAGGCTTCTGCGTGCGCGGCCTTGGCCTGCCGACCCTGCGCGACGAACCGCGCGCTGAGGGACAGCGGGTGGGTGGACCCCGAGCGCGGCTCGGGCCAAGCAGCGGTGCCCCCGGGCGGGCGCGCGACCACCCACCGTCTGGAAAGCCACCCCACCCCAGCCCGCGCGCCCTACCCCCTGGACGCCCTTCACTCGGCAGCGAAAGCGGCGCAAAAGCTCACACACACACTCTCCGGCCGGCCGGCGGAGGCAGATACACAACATGGCAGATTCACTGTCAGGCCCAGTGAGATGCAGGGACCCAGGGTCAGCACATTGACAGGCGCGCGGGCACACACACACACACACACACACACACACACGGTCCCCTGGAATGTGCAGGGACCACCACCAGGCCGGAGGACCAGGAAGGCCCCAAATCCATGGAACACACACATTAGTGACCACCAGTGCAGAGGAACAAGGCAGCTTGGTATTTTGTCTCTAAAGTGGAAATACCCACGTCTTCATACTTGCGCATAAATGCAGTGGTCTTAGTTTGGCTCTTCTGGGACAGCACCAGCAGAATACCAGGTGGACACACACATAAAAAACACATTCCTGAAACTCCTGCCTGGTGTTGGAAACTACTCAGGCGACTGAGGAGTCTCTCTAAAACTTTCGTGAAACAATGCAAGGCACAAATAAATTTAAAAAGCCAAAGATGTTTCATCACAAAGATAGTCATAAACAGAAAAGAAAAAGAATTGGACAAACTTTGGAATCATGAAGATGAAAGTCATGAAACTAGCAGGATTGGAAGTATTGAAAAAATAACTCCCCTGCAAGATTCCAGGAAAGAACCTGACCCCTACTCTGCCAGGTCACAATGGCTGGAGCTCTAGGGGGTTCAGGCCCCCTGAACCAGGAGGAGAGGAGGAAGTCCAAGGGAAGATGGTGAGTATAGGGCCAAGGGGCATAGCAAGCACAGCACTCTGCCGCTTCCCACTGCTGCTGGTGGTTCTTTTTTCCTCCTCTGAAACTTCCTAGTGGTCCTAGAGACACCCACAAATGGTGTACATAATTGTCCCTGGAGCCTGTAGCATCACACTGATAAACAGCACCTGAAGCTTCCTCCCCTTCCTCAAACCAACAGAACAACCCTGTCTTTTTTTTTTTCTTTACTCCCGAAACAGTCTAGAGAAACATGATGTTCCAGAACCATTCACTCCCTGCTTCCTGCTTTAGATACACAAGACCTGCTCTGTACCATTTCATTCATCCTTCACCCCTTTTCTATCTCCAGTGAGTTCCACTGCCCCACAGGGTCCTAGGTAACCTAGCATTCACCTCGTCCCAAGTCCTCTGGCCTGTGGCTTTCCTCATAGTCAAGCTCCTTTTTTCCCTAACAGGCTGGCAGTCACCCCTACTTCAATCTGCCTGACTTCACCCAGCCATCACCGCCCTCCACTCCACCTAGCCTCTCCTCGAACCAGCGCTGCTGGCCCTCCGATGCCACCAAGGGCCTGCTGGTGGCCCTGCTGGGTGGAGGCCTCCCAGCTGGCTTCGTAGGCCCCTTCTCCCGTATGGCTTACCAGACTTCCCACTTGCCCTCAATGGAGCTGCTCATGTGTCGGTGCCTCTTGCATCTCCCCTTTGCTCTGCTACTTAAGCTGCGAGGTGACCCACTGCTTGGACCTCCTGATGTCCGAGGCTGGGCCTGCCTCCATGCCGTGCTCAACGTTCTCAGCATCGGATGTGCCTACAGTGCAGTTCAACTGGTGCCGATTGGCAATGCTGCCACCATTCGAAAAGGTTCTTCCACTGTGTGCTCTGCCCTCCTTGCCCTCTGCCTCAAAAGCCAGGGTCTCAGTGGCTATGACTGGTGTGGCTTGTTGGGCAGCACCCTGGGACTGATCATCATTGTGGGACCTGGACTAGGGACACTGCATGAGGGCACCACAGGTCTCTACACGGTTCTGGGATATTTGTTGGCCTTCCTGGGAGGCTTGGCCTTATCACTGGGACTTCTGGTCTACCGCTCCCTGCAGTCCTCCTCCTGCCTACTAACAGTGGCCTTTCTATTCGGTGTGGTGGGGCTAATGGCCTCTGTGCCAGGTCTCTTTGTACTGCAAACCCCTGTGCTACCCAAAGACCCTCTGAGTTGGAGCTGTGTGGTGGGAGTGGGGATCCTTGCCTTAGTGTCCTTTGTGTGTGTAAGCTATGCCGTCACCAGGACCCACCCTGCCCTGGTCTGTGCTGTCCTTCACTCTGAGGTAGTGGTGGCCCTGATGCTGCAATATTATGTGCTCTATGAGACCGTGGCACCTTCTGACATCATGGGGGCAGGGGTTGTGTTGGGCAGCATAGCCCTCATCACTGCCCAGAACCTCAGCTGCGAGAGAGAGGGGCAAGTGGAGGACTGAGGCGCAAACTGAGCCTGGGGTTGGGGGTTGGGAGTTGGAGGGTGGGCAGGGGTAAATAGGAGGAGAGACTGGAACACAAACGTGGGAGAAGCAGCACTTGGAAAAGAACTGGTGTGAGAGAGGGACATTCCTTGGACCTGAGGATGACTTGGGTGTTGATGGAGTGGGACAACTGGAAGACCTGGAACACGCCTGGGGACTAAGGAATCCGGCCTAAGCTAGGTCCTGGGAATCAGGACATAACCAAAGGGTAAGGTCTCAGATCCAAGGGGCTGAGGCAGGCAGGCCATGGGCCACAAGGAGGACTTCCCTTCGCAGCAGAGAGAAGAGCTTTGGAGTTGGAGAGTGTGCTAATCCTGGGCAGCGTTCTGCAAAAGAGCCAAGCAGCTGCACTGGGAGAAGGGAGTGTGCCTTTTTCTCCTAGTGGAAGGTTTCCCTCTGGTCGTGCCCCCACCCCTTGGGATGGTGACGTGACACTGACATCAAACAAGAAACACTTTGAATGTGGTTGTGCAGTTGGTGTCATCTCTGCTTTGGAGAGCGGAAATCCAAAGCACTCCTCTTATTGGAGAATTCCTTGAGGGGTTCCCCCCATCTTATTTCTGAAACATTACACAAGGAGGAGGATTTCCTAATGTTTAGATTCACTGACCCCAAACCCCCAGGACTTTCCTGTCCTGCCCCTGGCTAATCTGCTTTTCCTGGATTGTCCGGGTCCCGTGATCTCTCTCGTGCAAAGCCCACTCTCCTTTCGGAGCAGGCCTCTGAGCTGAAGCTTTTTCCAGTGGCTCAGGCTGGAGACTCAGGACTAAAGTTCGGTACAGAAAGTCTCTAGAGGTCAGCAGATGCCCACTCATCCCTAGAGGCCAAATATCTGCCGCTTCCGGACAAATGATTAGACCCGCCATCTTGACCTGCTCATGCATATTCAACCAGAAACTGCATATTCATGACCAAGGACGCCCCCCCCCCCCGCCACTAGAGTGGACTCAACCGGCCCCGCCTCCATTACCGATGCGCAGAACAGACCATTTTCCACTGCGGGGGATATTAGTGACTTTGCTGAAGATGAAACCGTACTCCAATGCAAAATAAAAGCGGCTTCATTTTATTCTTTGTCCTTTAACCCTTCCACTTCAATATAAGAGACAGCAACGAAAAGCGGGCGGATTTTAAAAAAGCCTCTCCCCCTATCATTTCATAAAGGTCGCCCAACCAGGGAGCCGCGGGAGGGACGACCAACGACTCCAGAGCGTGCCCCGTGCGGGCTTACGCAGGCGGCCCCGTAGCGCAAGGGAGGGCGGGAAAGGAAGGGGCGGGGAAGCAGGGGCGAATCTATAAAGGGTGTTGTTCAGCCAGTTCGCTCCTCAGAAGCGCCGAGAGCGCGACCGGGACGGCTCGAGAAGAAGGCGGCTCCCGGAAGGGGGAGAGACAAACTGCCGACCTCTGCCGTTCAGGAACCCGGTTATATATTTATTCGTTATCCTTTTTCTTCTCCCTTCCCCTAAAACCTTTTCCTTCCTCCCCCTCTTTTTGTTTCTTTTTGGGACCTAAAAAAATCTCTGGAACGGGAGTGAAGGGTTCCTTTCGCTCCTTTTTGTTTCCCCGCCTTCTTCCCTCCCCCACCTTCCCCTTCTCTGGGTCTTTCCTTCCCACCCGGGAAGGTCCTTCCCGGTGGCCGCCCGGACTGGATCTGAGCGCCTAGGCGGAGGCGGCGCAGGCTTTTTGTAGCGAGGTTTGCGCCTGCGCAGCGCGTCAACCTTCGCCATGCACGGGGGTGGCCCCCCTTCCGGGGACAGCGCATGCCCGCTGCGCACCATCAAGAGAGTGCAGTTCGGAGTCCTGAGTCCGGATGAGCTGGTAAGCTGCTCCGCCTGGTCCCTCCTCTTCCCTCCCTCCCGTGTGGGCGGGCGGGGCCGAAGGTGGCTGCGGAAACTTGGCGCTTTTCTCTGCCTGCTGCTGACCGACGGGAGGATGTGTTAGGAACGTCAAGACCTTGTGGGGCTTCTGGGCTCCCGAAATTAAATTCTGCGAGGATTTTAAGTTTAGTGCTGTGTCCAAGATGGGGGGTCATGCTGGGGATAAGGGTGACCTGTTACAAACTTTACCGACATTCAGCGAGGCCTAAATGAATCCTAAGGCCCCGCGTGGTGGTGCATGCCAGTAATCCCAACACTAGGGAGGTTGATGATTGTTGTGAGTTCGAGGACAGGTTGAACTACATAGAAAATGTCTTAAGCAAAGAAAAAAATGCTGCAGAATCTTTGCAAGTCTGAATAGGAAGCCAACCCCGTTTTTCCCTACCGTTTCAAGCGTGAACACTTGCTATGTAACACATAACAACGTGAGGGTACACCGCTGAACAATTATGGCAGATTCCACCGTCTAGAGCACTGTCTGCGGGAAGTGGCAGAGGAGACAGACTAGAAATATACGAATAAGTGAACAAGATAGTTCATTTCTACCGAGTCGTGCGATGGAAAGTCACTAAGGCTAGTTTAGATGTGAGGGTGTTTGGGCCTGACAAGTCCTGTTTGAGGTGGTGACATTAGGACGAAAAACAGCCAGTCATCTAAAACCCTAGAGCCTGGATTTTCCGGCTGAGTGCTAAGAATGAGGGAGAAATCAACTTGGTTTGCTCTTAGAAGCAGAAAGCCAGTGCAGCAGGAGATCAGTAGCAGAGAGGGAGGTGTTACAGAAATAGGTTGGAGAAGCATGGGATACTGAAAATCATGGCTAAGGGGTCAAAATTTAGTTTTACTTCCAAGCCATTGGACAGTTAGTGTGACAGTGTACGTTAAAAAGTACATATGAGGGGCTGGGGATTTAGCTCAGCGGCATAAGCGCCTGCCTTGCAAGCAGCCAGTCGTGAGTTCGATCTCCGGTACCGATAAAAAGGAAAAAGACCAAAAGAAAAGTACATATGCGCCACTGTGGTTGCTCTGTCAGGAGCTGTTCAGGGCAGGGTGAGGGTGAAAGTGAGCCGGGGAGGAGGGAAATGTTAGGAATGACCCTTGGGTGACTGGAGCTCCTTCCTCTCTGGAGCTTAATAGGAAGGCTGGAAAGGGTGGGGTGAAATGGTTGTGTTTGTGGAAGAAGACAGTTTTGTTTAAGAAGCCTTAGCTATGTCAGAATGCCAAACAAAGACTTGGAGGAAGGGTGCTAACACCAGCCAGCCCTTAATGGTAATGAAGTAAGTAAAGGTAAATTTTGTGGTGAGGCTGAAGTGAAGTGAGAATTACACTTACACGGAAGAGCAAGGCAGTTTTCATTATGTGAAAGTTAGAGTTGCTTCTGTTCATGAGAGACACCGTGTACAAAGCTAAGAAAAAAGTTAGCAAATTATTTGTGATGAATAAGATTAGATCTTTCATACACCTTGCGAGGAACACGAAATCATTTAGTACACATCTACTAGAAAGATGGATAAATGTAGATAAAGGAAATGAGGCAGCTCACGGTAGTACAAATGGTCAATTAAAAAACATTTGGTGGGGTGCAGTGATTACATGTCTGTTAGCCCAGCTACTCCACAGGCTGAGATAGGAGGGATCACCAGTTCAAGGCCAACCTGGGTAGAGTATGGTGAGAGGGGCAGAGATGGTTTTAAGGGCTGAACTTTAGACATATCCTGAAAGGTAGACTGGCAGCTGGACTCAGTGGGAATTGTAAGAGAAGAGCCAAAACTGGCTTTTTGACCTGAGCGGTTGGATAAATGGAGATGACATCTGTTGAGTCAGGTAAGACAGGAGCGCTGTGTTAAAGTTTGTTGTTGTCTTTCTTTTCCTTTTCTGGTACTGGGAATTGAACTCATGACCCAGTGCTTGCAAGGCAGGTGCTTATGCTGCTGAACTAAATCCCTGGCCCTGTTTTTCTTTTTTGAGATAAAGTCTTACTATGTATATAATGCAGGCTGGCTTTAACTCACTGTGTAGTCCAGACTAGCCATGAACTCAATAGTGACCTGCCCTAGCCTCCTGAGTGCCGAGATTATAGGCACACAGTACCACTCTCAGCTAACCTACCTAAAAGTTTATTAATAGGAATCCTCACTGGGGAGGCTGAGGCAGGAGGATCGTTGTGAATTCGAGGCCATCCTGGGCTACAGAGTAAGTTCAAGGCCAGTCTGAACTGCATACTGAAACCTCGTCGCAACCTCCTCCCAATAGGAATCTATTAACCTAGGACTGTCATTACAGACTGTTCCAATAGGTTAAACCTGTTTTCCCCCAGCCATTTCAGAGAACTCACAGGAGCAAAGAGATGTTTTAAATCTTCCAGAGTACTGCTGCCTTCTGAACTATTTAGCTCCAGATTGTTCCATTTCAGCATTAGATGGCGCCAAATCCCTTTGAATAGCGTCATATCTTTGTGATGCTGGACTAGCTGTTGCTAAGGATGGGCACAAGTCAGTTGGAGCCAGAAATCTGATTGCAAGTGTTGGTAAGGTGTGCAGAGCCTGACAGGTGTCATAGGAGAGAAAGTGAGGTTATTTGGGAAATAATATTTTTAATAAAATATTTTACAACGTATATTTTCTAAATTGGTAGTATGTTAGTAGGACATAAATAGAAAGGTTGGAACAGTGTTTACATAACTAAAAAGGTCATCTCTAGGAACTGGGATATTTGCTCTCTGCATGGTTTGCAGTTCATAGTGTGGCCTTTTCAGGGAATAGCATGATTACTTGGGTGGGAGGTTCAGTGAATGGAGGGGCTCTGGGGAACAAGTAGTACCTAATGGTAGAATGTTCTCCAAAAGGCTTGGGGGAGGGGCAGTGGTTGGCATAGAGAGGACCATTTGAATTGGCCTGAAGCTGGAGCTGTTACAAGCTTTTCTGTTATAAGAAGGGTTTGAATGTTTTCTGACTGGGGAAGAAAAAAGAATTGGTGCAACTTTGTTGTGTGTGCTAGCGATTGAACCTACTGCCTTGCACATGCTAACCACACACTCTACCACTCAGCTTTAGCTCAGTTGCTAATGTACTCTTCTTTAGGTAAAATGTGGGCTATATTCGTGAATCAGATTGTCCTGGTCTTCAGATTATGTATAATCTAATGAGGGATTTTATTATCCTTTTGGGGGGGCAATTGTGACAAACTCTTACTATGTAGGTCTTGCTGGCCCTGAACTCACTGTGTAGCTCAGGCTAGCCTCAAACTCAAGGCAGTCTTCGTGCCTCAGTCTCCCAAGTGTTGGGATTACAGGTATAGGACCACACCAGGCTAATGAGGGATTTTCTATATGCAACAGATAGTTACTGAGCCCCTATCATGGCGTGACTGCTAGACCCTGAGATTCTAAAGATAAAACATGATCCTTGTCCTTAAGGGTTACAGTCCAGTGGGAACCACAAATATGGAAACAGTGAAGTTGTCCTCAGAACCCTACTGGGGTGTGGGCAAGGCCAAATTAAGGCCAGCTTGGAGAGAGAGAAGACGTCACAAAACATCGATACAGTGGCTCATGTTTGTAATACCAGCACTCGGAGGCCGAGGCAGGAGGATCGGTGGATGTTTGAGACCAGCCAGGGCTGAAAAGTGAGCTCAAGGCCAGCCTGAACTGCAGAGCAAGAACCTGTCTCAAAAAGACTGAAAAAAGGCTGGGGATTTAGCTCAGCGGCAGAAGCGCCTGCCTGGCAAGCACAAGGTTGTGAGTTTGATCCCTGCTACCAAAAAAAAAAAGAGAGAGAGAGACATGTAAGAAGTTGTTGTCTGAGCTGGTCTTAAGGATAAATAGAATTTTACTCAAGAGGAGAAATGTGAAGCCAGAGGAATTTTGAGAAATCTGCTGTAGTTGCAATACAAATCTGGGAGGTGAGAGAATGCAGTACGAAAGAAGGCTGTGAAAATGAGTTGAAGCCAAGCTGTGAGGTGTGACTATGGCTAACCAAAAGCAGAGGAAGGAGCTGGGCGTGGTGGTACACACCTGTAATCCCAGCACTCTGGAAGCTGAGGCAGGATGAGCAGGAGTTTGAGGCAAGGAGTTTGGGGCTATGTAGTGAGTTCGAGGATAGCCTGAGTTTTCTTTAAAAAAAAGGAAAGAGAATGGGTACATCTCTGGCATGACTTAAGAAAAACCGATGAAGGATTATGGGATAAGGTAGTACAC